AAAAACACTAAATAAATACTTATACCTATAACTAAAAATTTTAATAATATATTCCCCGTGGCTAAAGGTAAGCCCGGCAGTATTATTAATAAAATTTATATACCTTTTAATAACTCCCGCGGTAATAATACCAGCACCTTTAAAAATATAAAAAGCATGGTAAAAAAAAGTATTACCCTTTATTAATTACCCCTATGCTAATTCCTGGTACTTTAAGCATGCCTATATTTAATAATAAAAATATAATTAAATTTTTAAAAGTATACAAGCAAGCTTGCAAGAACTAAAATATTTATAATAAATTAAAAAAAGTTACCTAAGTAGCAGGCTACTATAGTTACAGCATTTTAAATATTATTAAAAACTTAAAAAGGTATACTAAACAAGACTAGGAGGTTTTAAAAATTATTATACTAAATAAATATTAGCGCCTTAATTAGTACTAAATTAAGTAATTATATTAATATTTTAAAAAATTTAAAAGCTAGCCACGCACGTGAACTAATAACCTTTATAATTATATTATAAAATATAATATAATTTTAGCCTAAGTTATATAAATTAATAAATTAAATAATTATACTTAATATATCTAGCTAACCTAAGGCTTTTTAAGCAACTTAGCCTAATAAGTTTTTAAAAAATTTAGGTTAAAGGTAGGGAGCTACCGCTAGCTTAAGTATAAGATAATTAAAAAGTATATATTAAATACCCTAGTAATAAAAAAACTATACCTTAAGGTTAGTAAAAAGGTTATTATGTTTTTAAAAAAAAAAGCTAAAAAAAAAGGCTATATTTTAAATACTTTTAAATATATAGCTAGTATTTTAATAGCTAAAAAACCCCTAGTTTTATTTAATAAAATTATAAGCTAGTAAAAAAAACACTCTAGCCCTGCCTAAAATAACCTTTAAAAAATTATAAAAATTATTAAAATATTATAACTAAACCTTAAAGCTATAATAGCCTAATAAGCATAGTAACCCCCTTATTTTTTAAATATATAGCAGGCACCACCCCCTTAAGTATTTATATATTAAACTACCATGTATATTCCCCCTTAAATTAAAGCTACTTTTTAATAATACCCGCCCTAGTAGTACCTATTTTAATAATACTTATTTTAGTAGCACCTGCCCTAGCAATACCTACCTTAATAATACTAAAAATAATAATACCTGCTTAATAATATATTAGTACTCCTGGTTTAAGCACCCCTGCTTTATAATAACTACTATTATTATAAAACTTTAAAATGCCACGTAGGCACCTGTATTATATAAGTAATAAATATAATAAATAAAATATATTATAAAAACCTAAATATTAATAGGCTATATGTTAGTAAGGTAGGAAATAAAAAACCTAAAATTAAAGGCTAGCTAAAAGTATTAATAGTAAAGTAAGTATTAAAAGTTATTAAAAACTAATTAAAGCTGGAGTTTTTAAAAGCAAATATTAGTATTATTAAAGCCTTAATTATTAAGCTTATAAATACTAAAAACCTAGGAAAAAATGCCAAGGATAGTAAAAACTTTAATTATAAGTTTAATAATTTAATTAAGGTGTAACTATAGTTATTTATAGCTAATAAATAGGTTAAAAAATATAAAATTATTAATAATAAGTACCCTACTATTTAATTAGCAAGATTTAGCTAGTATATAAATAGGATAATTAAAAAGTCTAAACTTTTAAAAAACACGGAAAAATAGCCCCGGGTAAAGGAAGTAATAAAAACTATAAAAGTTAAAATATAAAAAAAAAAAAAAAAATAAAAAGCCTTAGGCTACTATTTAATCCTAGTTTATAGCTAAAAATAAGCTAGTAACTAAGCTAAAAAAAAAAAATGCTAATAAACTTTATACTTAACCGTGTACTTTAGTAACCAGTGGTTAATATTATAATTAGTAATTTTTTTAAAATATTTAAACACCTATACTTTATATTTTTTTATTAGCTTTTTATAAATTTAAGCCCTTTTAGTGCTATTACCTAAATTCCCTAAGTAATCCTAAAAAATATAGCTATTATAAACTTAGTATTAAGGCCTAAGTTAATTAATAACATGCCTTTTTAACACGTGCAAGTAACACTTATAAATATTATTATAAAAGGCTTAAGGTTTAAGCCTTTTTTTAATAAAAAAAACCCTTATATATCCCTAAGTATTAAAATCTTAATTAAAGTAAAAAAATAGTTTATAAAGGTACTTTTAAATACCAGCGCGGAACTTAATATTATTAATAAATAATTATATAAAAAAATTAACTTACCCTACAGGCTAAAGCCGCGGGTAAAAATAATAATTATAAATTAAGCTAAGGGTAGTTATATAGGTATTATAAAAAACCTTTTAGTAATTATTAGGGACCTTATATACTAAAGTGTTAATTATTTTATACTAAATAATTTAAAAAAAAAATTTATTTTAGGAAGGCCCTTTTAACACCAAGCCTTATTTATAATAAATACTAAAAAAAATGGTAATATAAAGTATATAATTTATTTTATTAATTAAAACTAACTTTTAAAAATTCATGTATCTTAAAAGCTATTATTAACTAAATATAAAAAAAATATTTAGCCTAGGCAGGATTTAAAAAATTAAGCAAAAATTATAATATTAGGTAGTTACTTATTATAAAAGCTAAAATAATAATACT